GGCTGTCACAGAGATGGAGGACAAGATCTTTTGTCCCTCATTCCTGAATGCAGAGCATGGATTTAAATTAGGCCTTCCCGGGGTCCTTCCCCCCCAACCCCGGGGTGCGTGCGAGGCATGTGGAGTCCCACCTCCTGGGCCGCCTTCCTGGCAGTTGGAAGCTCCAAACGCAAAGGCGGAAACAGTTTCTGTCCTGCCACTCCCTGGACAGATGACAGAGTGTAGAAGTGAGGATTCATTCCTTTCTTTTCCTTTGGAGGAGAGACCAATCTTACAAGAGAGGAACAAAATGAAACTCTATACTTAAAAAAAGAGATAGGTGATATGAACTCTTTTACTTTAAATTATTAAATGCAAATATTCAAGCTTAAGAAAAAAGATAACATATGGAGCTGCCCAATTCCACCCAGAGTCATGACATATTGGGGCAGCCTATAAAAAGAACGAAAATGTTTTTATGGTTTCACTAATTTAGTTTATATTTGTGTGTTGAAGTTTTTATTTCTGTAAACTGCTGAGAGACACAAGGTTGGAAACTGCTGCTTTTGAACTGAACAGCTAAAGATGAATAGCTGCCTTCAGCTGGGCTGGTGTCAGATTAAGGCAGCATCATGAGGAGACATCCTCCAACAATGGCCAGCAGGGCATCTTCATGCTACAGTTAGAGGGACATGGGGATGAGCCCTTAGTATTTTTACTTTGGGGTATTTTCAGTCTTTTGGCTGTGTTAGGTCTCTCCCCTACCTGGAATGGTTGTTTGGGATTCTCCTTCAATTATCTGCTCTTTCTCCCAATTCAGTTCCAGAATCCAACCTGGGGCACATCATCGGCTGCCTTGTGGCTATTGTGGCTACTGTTGTCCTGATTATTGTTGTGATTGCTGTGATCTTGGTGTATCACAGTAAGTATCCTGTAGCTACCTTTGCTGGGTGGTTGTGAAGGAAGGTGGGAAGATTCCTCCCAAGTCTCTCCCTTTGGGAGCTCCTTCTGGGCTTGCTTCTTCCCGGTTTCCCAGCCCTCTTTGGGACCATCTGAAATCTCGGCCTCTTGCTGGGACTCCAGTCTTGGCTCAGCGGAGTCTGAGATTCAGACAGTCCTGTCTTCT